TACATCCTCTTTTATCCTCCTTTTACTCATTTTCCATCTCTGTAGAACTGTAAGAATATCTCACAGGTAATCAGTCCCCTTGAGTTCAGCGAAGTAGGTACTCTCATTTAACATTACTGGGCATGGCCAGAACATACAGGGTTATTCGAAGTGAGAATTGGCTCAAATTCAAAGTTTAAGGCCAAAGTAGCTGAATGGAAAGCAGACATGGAGAATGTTTCCAGTGCAGCTACTCTGGTCTTCCATTTGAAATTCACTTTGAATTCCTGACAAGTATCACTTTCGTGAATAACCATGCTACTGTTCATAAAGGATAAAGCCTTAGACATTGGTACAGTTTACTACTTGGTACTGCCACTGTGCAGTATTAAACTTTTTTTTTTTTTCTGTAGCCGATTTATTTTTTTTCTTCTTCCCACTGTCAAATGTGACTTTAATATTTATTCTAAATCCTAACAGCATGTATAGTGAGGAGTCCAGCATCCTGACCTGCAGTTTCAAATTCTATACACTGTCCCATATTAAACAGATGGACTACTCCTGTCTCATCTATTTCAAATTGCTGATTTATTGGGTCCCTAATGAGCAATAAGGATTTTCTTAACTATTGCGATGGAAACATTTATATGGTGTAGGTTTGTTTTATATTACCAAATGATGGCATTCTGTGGTCTGTTCAGACTGGTTCTTCTTTTATATACAGTTTGAATATCATCCTGAATTGTATTCTTGGCAATGAGTGGAGTTTTATAAATATACTTCTAAATATACTATCTGCCAGTGACAGGGTTACGAAGTGGTGTGGTTTTTTTTATTTATTTATTTTATTATTATTTTTTGTGCTTTTATTATCATGGTGATCTTGTAATACCCCATAATGTGTTTCTAGATCTCTCATGTCCTTGTATAATACATTTATTCCAAATGTTTAAACGTGGAATTTGTTAATTAATGCTGAAGCAAGGGAGATCCTTTTTTAAATCTTTTGATGGATGTTAAAATACATATACAGGAAACCGTACCACTAATGATATGATGAGATGGGCTGGTGAAATGAATGTGCAATGTCAATGAAGGATAAATAAGTGTGACTTCTTGGTCACAGTTGAGTTGGCACTCAGGACACATCAAACTGATGTGACTTATGTTAATATTTATAAGCTTGTAAATATGTAAATGATCCTCTATTTATAATCCTGCTCCCACTTGTTTACATGAAACCCAGCCCGAGGTGGTCACAGAATGCTGATTAACACTATTGTTACACCCACAGCGCAGCTCTTCCTGGACAGGTTAAAACATTAATCAAGAAGCCTTACCGTTTTAATATGGATAAAAAAAAAAATCTAAATATTGTCCTATTTAAAAAAAAATGTTAATGTCTATAAAACTGTTTAATCCTGTGCAAAGAGCTTACACAAAGACTTTGAGTGAACATGTACAAATAACCATAAAAGATGTGCTGATGTTTTAACTTATAAAAATAAAAAAACTTAAGTGTCTAATTCTGTTCCTTTCTATTATAAGGGTGGTCATCAGTAGTATAATGGTTAATATGCAGTTCTCAAATATAGGCTAAAGTACAGAAGTGGCTACAAAATAAGGGCCATGGGAAAAGCTATGTTAAAAAAATAACCTACAATACTTGTGAAGTGTTTATTATAATATGACCATACCCCATTGGAGAAATAAATATACGGGTTGAATAATAGCCAATAACTGGTCATATACTTAATAACTGGACAGTAGATAATGTCATCTATTGAGACTTGATTGAACAGAAGGGATTCTATGGAAAAAATCTAGATGGAAATTCACTGCCTAGAGATGATGTGTTGCCATATTCACTGAATTACTATTGAAATAGTGCAATGCATTTTTGCCGAATATACAGTTAAAATCTAACTATTAATAGCTTGTTGATTCAGTTAGAAATCTGCTGTATTGAAGCCAGGATGTCTTTGGCACAAAGTGTCAACAAGGCAATCAAAATGTATTTTCTTGACTTTAATGCTCACTTTTTGAAAACTGGAAGCCGAAATTTTTTTTTTTTTTTTGCTAAGCCATGTAATGTGCATTTGTACAAGATACAGTATACAGAATCAAAGTTTCACATCCCTGTTGCAGTGATGCGAATATGCATTTCGCCCCGGCGAATTGCCATATGCCTTTTTGTATCCCCAAGCGGTCGTTAAGTGAGGAGCAACTTGCTAAGCAAGAGAGATGTACACATTCGTAGTCTTTATTGCAATGTGTATATATTTTTTTTATTATTTTTTGTTAGTAACGAAATTTGTAAGCCCTGCCCCAGGAAGTACCTCTATAGTAGTCATCTGCGTGGCTGCCAGTGGAGGTATCATTAGGCTATAATGCAAACACTGCATTTTCTCTGAAAAGACTGTTTACCGCAAAAGGCCTGGAGGGAACCGTTCTACTCACCAGAACAAATACAATAAACTGTAGTTGTTCTGGTGACTATAGTATCATTTTTTTATTTATTTTTTTTATTCTTTATTTTGCTGTGCATTGAGTAACATTGATGCATGTATATCACTCTAGCATTTCAAAGCTTTCATATAACAAGCATTAGACAAATACTGTGAACGTGGTTATGCACATATTTTAAATTTAAGTCATCATGAGTGTGTCCCTAGTGAGCTGCTTTACGTTCATGGTGGCAAAGTATATTTGTCAGTTCCGTCTTTACTTGGGGAGGGGGGGGGAGGGGTGGTACAAGGTGTGCATGTTCTGAGGGCAATACAGGGACTTGCGTGCCTGTTAGGTAGGCTCTCTTGTGGGCAGTTTTAGGAACATGTGTAGGTCTGTGGGGTAGACCTAGATTAAAAGCGAAGGTCATGTTTGGGGAACCTCTCAAACGAGGTGGTCCCCTTAACTATGGGGGTGGCGGGGAGGGGTGTGTGTGAATGTGGTAAAGTGGTATATTCTGTATATGGCTATGGAGAACCGGACCAGGGTCATACATGGCACTGTGAAACAAGTGCTTGGTTGGGTCATGGTTGGCTAGAGCTCCCTATTCCTAGGCATCCCAGTATCGTTGTTGCGTTGTCATGTGGGTGAGGCTGATGTGCAATAAACATAAATAGGAAACCGAAATTATAACGTTCAAACTTTGCAGCCTAGGGCTGCAGATTCAGTAAGTTCCTCGGGAGGATTTGGGTAATGGCTGGTGGACTCAGTGCCCTTCAGGTGTCAGGAAGATAGTCCGCTGGTTGTCTCTGCACGAATGGTATGACGGCTGGGTCCCAACCTTGAGCGTGGCTTGGGTCCGCTAGTGCTGCTGTCCCATTCTGTATGCCCAGTGTTGAGAGGAATGTTGGTATTTTAGTTCCTGTGGTCAGTTTGTGCGTGGCACCTTTGTGTGAGACGAGGAGAGACCTCGGCATTCCCCATCTGTAGGTCACTCCTGCAGCCCGTAGTGTGGCGGTGAGAGGATTCCCCCCCCATAGTGTCCCTTTTATGTTCCTATGTTTTGCTGATTTTGGGAGATCATTTTTATTTTCTGGGTTTCCATTTAATTTATTACAGTTCCCTTTATGTTCACCAAAGTTCTACTCACTTTGGCGGCTCACTTGTGAGAATGAAGATTATATCAATACTTACACAGGAAAGATTCACCTAATCTACTATAAAGTGGACGAGGTAAAAACTGGAAAAATATAATCCGTATCCTGACGTAAATGTGATCACAGTCCACTCTACATGCACCAATACATACACAAACTGCATATATATCCAGTGCGAGTGAAATACACTAGCCGTGTAAGGCTACTCCTCTACCTAGTATAGATAATGGATAACCATTGGATTATCCAGACAGGTGCTTAAAATATTATACAAGCTTTATTAATGATGCTTATTTGTAGTACTTCTGATAACCCTTTTGTAGGTAAGTAGTGCACTGGAAAATAAACCAGTGTACCAAGGTAGACAAGGAGTTAAACCATAATACTTCTAAAATTCGGGACTTCGGCACTTCTGATATTTGGCAATTCGGAAACGTCTGAATTTCCGAAATTCGGCCAAATTCATATTCTGACTGAATCTAAATGCACATGTATATTTACAAAGAAAAGATAAAAGTATTCATAAGGATAGTAGACATGTGCAATTCGTTTCGGTCCAAATGAAAATTTGGACATTCGGATGCTTCCGAATTTCCGTAGCAAAGTATTGCCTAAGTACTAATATACTTACCCAGTGAAAGAAGGTTACATTGTATACAATTTTAAATAAAAAGTATACAAACATAGCCAGGATTCAGCTGTAAGCATTTGCAACACTTGCAACAATCAAGTAATACACATTCATATAAAATGTAAGTTACTTGGCCAGTCAATGTAATGACAGGAATGAATAAGTAGATAACTCCCTAATTTCCACGGTATTAGGGAGCTGTCTACTGAAAGACCTGAATTGGTCTTTCACCCAAACTTACTAATACTAGGTAAAGATTACTTAGTATTGGTAAATTATACTCCTCGCTATATCACGAGTAGGGGCATGTCTATTAAGCAGTGAGCAGCCTGTGCCCCCACCCACTACTCGTGAGTGGGGGCTTTTAAACTAAAGGGGGACCTATTGCCCCCACCCCTGAGCAGCGGGTGGGGACACTAAAGTAAAATGAGGGGGGGGGGCCTATTGCCGCCCCGGCACCCACCCTTGAGAGGCGGCTGGGGGCCCTAAAGTGAAAAAAAGGGGGGAGGACCTATTGTCCTCCCCACCGGCCCTCACCCCTGATGGGTGGGGGCCCTAAATAAAATTTGGGGGGACGGGACCTAATGTCTTCCACCCTGATCGGTGGGTTGGGGCCCTAAACAAGAATAAGGGGTGGGGGGGACAACTGAGTGGTCGGTGGGGCCCTAAATCCAAATTTAACCCCCCTCCCCCAAACCCCTAATCAACCCCTCCCCCCAAAAAATGAACCCCTAACTACGCCCCTCACCCTAAAAATGAGGGGGGTACCTTTAACTAAGTACCTGTAAAAATAAACTTACCATTTGATGTTTTCTTTCTTCTAAAATCTTCATTTTACAGCCCCAAAAAGGCCAAATAAAAATCCATAATAACCGATGCAATTAAAAATAAAAAAAAACCTGAAAAAAATCTATCTTCACCCGGCGAGGGCTCCGCGCAGTCTGAGCTCTGCAGGGCGGGGGAAGGCTTATAAAGCCTTGCCCCGCCCTGCAATTAGGCTCAGAGCACTCTGTTAGGTGGGTTTAAGCCATCCAATCAGAGTGCTGTGACAGGTAAATGAAGAGACTGACAGGTAAGTCTCTACATTTACCTGTCACAGCACTCTGGTTGGTTTGAAATCCACCAGAGTGCTCTGTGTAAAGTTTTTATTTTAATTAGGTCCCCCCCCCTTATTCTAGTTTAGGGCCCCCACCTACCGCTCAGGGGTGGGGGCCAGGGGGAGGACATTAGGCCCCCCCAATTTGTAATTAGGGCCCCCACCTACCGCTCAGGGGTGGGGGCCAGGGGGAGGACATTAGGTCCCCCCTTATTCTAGTTTAGGGCCCCCACCCTCCGATCAGGGGTGGGGGCCAGGAGGGAGGACATTAGGTCCCCCCTGTAACGGATCACCTGGCACCCCGACTGGGTACCTCCGTTGAAGGATGCTCCTAGTGCTTCCTGAGGGCTCCAAGCACTGCAGCAGACATACAGGCTGCTCACTGTTAAATAGACATGCCCCTACTTGTGGTATAGCGAGTAGGGGCAAAATATACTAATACTAAGTAATTTTTACTTAGTATTAGTAAATTTGGCTGAAAGACCAGTTTAGGTTTTTCAGCCTTTTGGTAGATAACTCCCTAATACCATGGGAATTAGGGAGTTATCTACCAAGTGGCTGCAAGAGAAGTCCCGAAATGCCGGAGTTCCGAAGTTACCGAAGTGCTGAATTGACGAAGTCCCAAATTTGGGAATGCCGAACCAAGCCGAATATTTTCCCCATGCACGTGCCTAGAAGATAGACTGTACAAGTCAAGAAAGCAATCCCAGCCAAGATCTTCATGATCATGATGAAAGTTATGGCCTCACTATAAGCCTGGTACAATGGGCACAGTGGCATATCCATTACTAAAGCTTTCGTTAAAGCCTCAAAATACTCCAAGCAGCATACCTACTGCAGCTTGTTGTAGTGGTTATGGTGCCAGGAGAGTAGTGCCCTGTGTAAGTATTCAACCTTTGTCTCATTTTTAATACTTTCCTGGCTTGAGACAGGAACCAGTTGCCTCCTCCGGTGCCATTGGAGGTGCCAGCATTTTGCTTAGGAGGGCCATGCAGGGCTTACCTCATTGGCTGAGAGCACTCTGCCAACAAGCCATCACTGCAAAACAGGGCTTAGTTCAGTAGAGCTAACAATCTCCTTGCAGGAGTTTCCATCTCCACAGGAAGAGGCAAATCGCTCCCAGCGCTAACGGTTTAACTAGTTAACCTGGGAGGATGCCAGAGCACTCTTTGGATCATAATCACTATAGCAATCTGTAGTAGTTATTGTGCTTGCAGTGTTCCTCTAAATCCCATCACAACCAGACTTTTGAAATAAAATCAAACTTTTTATAAAAGAAATCCACATGTGCATGGTCATAAATTGCATCTGAAATGCATGACTTTTAGTATGTAATCAGTTTTCATGATCAGTATGGTTCGGTTGACAATAGTTTAAATTAAGACAAATTGATAGGGGCCCTATGAACATTAAACAATACCAGTACAGGAGAGCTAAGCTAATTTTCATAGAGTAAAAACTGGGGTACTTATTCAGAATTTACCATTAAAATGCAGAGATTTTTGATTAGGATGGGGCTATTTTTAATAATAAATATTGTCATGGGTTACACTGAATTTTTAATGTAAAGATGTGATCAATGAAGAAACGCATGGATTGTACTGTGCCATGTTTAGCGTTACATTTCCTGGCATCGTTTGGATAGGCTACATTATATTGTTTCCTAATTAGCATATCTAGTTTTCATAACGGGCTTGGCATTTCCAATTAAAATACATGGATATTAGGGTGCCCAGTTTAAAGCCATATTATGCAAGCAATATAATTTGGTTCAGTCAAGGTTGAAATTGCCGTAGAAGAAGTTAGAAAAAAAATAATTTAGGTGAGGCAAAATGGGAAGAAAATCTTGGTCCCTTATTCAGAATTTCCCTTTGAAATACATACATGTTAGGGTGTCATATTTTGCCATATTATTTGGCCCCGGCCAGATAGAACTTGTCCTTTACAGGGATACCCACTTAATAGAAAACAAACTTTTTGGTGGGCAAGATAAAGGATCACTATAGGGTCAGGAACACAAACATGTATTCCTGACCCTGTAGTGTTAAAACCGCCATCTGGCCCCCTCATGGCCCCTCATGCCGCCATAAATATAGTAAAAAAAATCTTACTGTATTCAAGCCTGAAGCTGCATGCTGTTCTCCATAGGATTGGCTGAGACTGACAAGGAGGCAGATCAGGGGCAGAGCCAGCATGATTCAAACACAGCCCTGGCCAATCAGCATCTCCTCATAGAGATTAATTGAATCAATGAATCTTTATGAGGAAAGTTCAGTGTCTGCATGCAGAGGGAGGAGATACTGATTGTTTGGGTGCATTTTAGGCAGCCATGACCCAGGAAGGATCTCTAACAGCCATCTGAGGAGTGGCCAGTGAAGTTATCACTAGGCTGTAATGTAAACACTGCATTTTCTCTGAAAAGACAGTGTTTACAGAAAAAAGCCTGAAGGTAACGATTCTACACACCAGAACAAATTCAATAAGCTGTAGTTGTTCTGATGACTATAGTGTCCCTCTAAGGAAAATTTAGATTGCTACTTCAGATTTCCCCATTGAAATGCATGGATGTCAAGAGTGCCAGGTTTGGTGACACATTTTGTGAACAATTTCATTTGGCTTAAGCTACATTGAACTTTTTGAAAGTTTTCTGATTGTTGTTTAGTAAATGAATAATAACTTTCGCGAAAAAGAAGATGGATGAACAAGAAGCGAACCTGAATAAGAAGCTGTCTGAATAAGAAGCGGTCCAAATAATGAGCTAATTTCATGCTAGCCTACTTGACTTTTAAATGTTGCGATATTATTTCTAAACATTGTTGCGTTGGATAACAAATCTCTGCAGATGTATTTAGAGAAAAAAATCAGTTCATATTATACAAAAATGTAAAAAAAATATTAAACAAAAGAGCGAAACAAGATTAAAATGTTGAATTATTAAAATATCAAATTCATTAAAAATAGCTGCTATACACGTAAAAGGAAATTCCCAAACCATCTCAAGCAAGTTATAGCAAAGAATAAAAAGTGTCAGCGCTTTGTCAATAGTCCCAGAAAGCAGTGTCTCAGGGTAGTCTTAATTTCATCACATTAATCTAGTGCAGAGTTCCAAAATGGATTTTCCACCTCCACAGCGGTGGATATTAGAGGTATTTGATAGTTTGTATTCGTCTTGATGTTATCCAATAAATAGGATACTTGTATTCAGTGTGTTTTAAAGGGACACTATAGTCACCTGAACAACTTTAGCTTAATGAAGCAGTTTTGGTGTATAGAACATGCCCCTGCAGTCTCACTGCTCAATCCTCTGCCATTTAGGAGTTAAATCCCTCTGTTTATGAACCCTAGTCACACCTCCCTGCATGTGACTTGCACAGCCTTCCATAAACACTTCCTGTAAAGAGAGCCCTATTTAGGCTTTCTTTATTGAAAGTTCTGTTTGATTAAGATTTTCTTATCCACTGCTATGTTAATAGCTTGCTAGATCCTGCAAGAGCCTCCTGTATGTGATTAAAGTTCAATTTAGAGATTGAGATACAATTATTTAAGGTAAATTACATCTGTTTGAAAGTGAAACCAGTTTTTTTTCCATGCAGGCTCTGTCAATCATAGCCAGGGGAGGTGTGGCTAGGGCTGCATAAGCAGAAACAAAGTGATTTAACTCCTAAATGACAGTGAATTGAGCAGTGAAATTGCAGGGGAATGCTCTATACACTAAAACTGATTTATTTAGCTAAAGTAATTTAGGTGACTATAGTGTTCCTTTAATATTCCAATATACACAGTAAAATATTGTGGTGTATGTCTTCAAATTACCACTTAAAATAGCATGTATCCAATAGAAAACAGACAAGCAGCTCGTTCACAAGGGTATGTTACCACTCTGTTCAGTTCGAGTCCTGGAAACCAAGCTGTACAGAAGTCAGCCTGACCGGAGGGACGCCAAGATGAAAAACTGCTCGGATAGTCTGTATATTGATTCTGTGATTGATGCCGGCAAAAAGCTCTGTTCTACGCATTTCGCCCAGGCTCAGCTGGCTTTTTCAAGATGGGGAGGTAGCCGTGCTCATAGGTCCTTATATATCCATAACGGTTCACTTTTAAATTGGGGCTGTCTTAAAGGGATAGTTGCTGCTGTGGCAGACCTTTTCCTGTGTCTTCCAACTTATATTAAATTGTTACAATTTACATATTTCCAGATATAAAAAGGACATACAATAATTCATAATGGTACCAATAAAAAATAGAATTGCTCAATAGCATAATATTAGACATAGAATATAACGTTTACAAAAAAAACCTTTAAAAAAAAAAGATTTTTATTAGATAGTGAAATCTGCATAATTAAGTAGGATCAGTGTAAACAGAAGATGTTGCAATAACATTCTAAACTACAACCGCAAATAAAACTTCTTAAATCTTAACAATTCTATTAAAAAACATTACAATGACAATCCATCTAATATATCATGATTTAAAAAAAAAATCATATTTTTAGACTAAAATAATAAACCTCATATCCATACAGATGATAAAATTCCCATTAGTGTTGCAATATGTATTCTTATTTTTTTTTAAAAAGCATTATCTGTGTGGAGTTATAAAATAGTAATCAGATGTTCTAATTCCGCTTTCACACCAAAAGGAACTAAAGTCTTCAAGTTATATATTCAGAACATTTCTCGATTTGTCAATATTTTACTTAAACCGCCACCCCTCCATGGGACATTTATACATTGTATCCCACAATATTTTAACGGTTTGGGATAACTATCGTGGCATTCCATATAATGCTTGGATAAAGTGTGATTGACAAATTTCCTTCTTATATTGTATACATGTTTCCTCAATATTATTTTCAGCATTCTTTTTGTTTGTCCAACATACTGGAGACCGCATCCGCACTCTAACAAGTAAATCACCTGTTTGAAGTGACATGTGATGCAGTCCTCAATGTCATCTTTTATTTGTTTTAGAAGATTGGAAGTTAGTCGTTTTTACAAACGGTGGTCTTATGGTCTTCCATATATTGCACTTCCCACATTTGAAGAAAGCTTATTGTTCATTCAAAAGTGTCTCTGAGGGTCTGGAGCCTTATAGCTGTGTACTAGTTCTTGTTTAATGGTGGGTGCTGCTCTGAACACCATCTTTGGGGCGTAAAGGTAAACCTAATGTAGGATCCTGTAGCAACAATTGCCAAATCTTATATATAACCTTTTTCAGTTGATGAGATTGGGTATTCTAATTTAGTATTAGTGGACAATAAAAGTATTGCTTATTGCGGTTATTCTTTTGCTCAGAAGGTAAAAATAATTTGTGTCTATCTAGGCTATATACCTTCTGTACAGAATCTCTTAAGAGTTGTTTATCATATTTTGTCTCTTCATATTGAGCCTTCATTTTCTCTATTTGTGTTTTACAGACTGTATCGTCTGTGCAATTCTTTTTAATTCTCAGAATTTGACCCAATGGTACATTGTTCAACTATGGGGGATAGTGACTGGAATTTAAAATAAAACTATTTACATCCAAACTTTTTAAAAAAAAAAGTGATTTTAAAATACCATTTTCCACATAAAATTCTAAGTCCAAAAAATCGATATTGGTTGCGTTATATTTATGGGTAGAAGATAGATTAAAATCATTTTTGTCAATATAGGTAAAAAATTCCAATAAAAGAGACTCCTCCCTCCCAGATAAAAAAAAAACCAATCATCAATATATCGTCTATAGCGGACTAGATTCGCAACCCAGGGATGTATAGAGGGCTAGATTTGCAACCCAGGGATGTATAGAGGACTGGATTCGCTACCCAGGGATGTATAGAGGACTGGATTCGCTACCCAGGGATGTATAGAGGACTGGATTCGCTACCCAGGGATGTATAGAGGACTGGATTCGCTACCCAGGGATGTATAGAGGACTAGATTTGCAACCCAGGGATGTATAGTGGACTAGATTCACAACTTTATACAAAGTTCATGGGACTAAAGCAACTCTGAATCCGAAAACTGTATATTAATCTCCTGTTTTTTTGCTAGAGACATAGTCACATAGCATTTCTCACATCTTTTTTTTGCTGTTGATCAAAAGGAATGCAAAAAAAATTCAGTTTGAGGCACTTCCAATTTTGCAACAAACTAGGAAACAAATTCCTTCTTGACCCCAGAATGGCAGACAGATTTATCCTTGGATCAAAAAGCTATTACCCCACAATTTAAACATTATATCCCTGAATATTCATACAATTGCTGTTTAAATATCTGCATGGCCTCTGATAAAACCCCCTTTTCAGGGACAAAATCATTAAAATACTGTTCTCAGTTCTATATCTAATGATCATTTCATATGTGAAATTAATATTGAAAGACTGAGCAAATAATTCAGAAAGCTATATATTTATACCGTTACCCTAACATGCTGCAACTCGACCATTTAACAAGCAGCCCACCTCCCCAAGAGTTGGAAAACTACATTTCCCTTGATCCCTTGCCAGTGTTTGAGTTGTATTTCCCTGCTTTACATTAATTGGTACTAGCAAATTAAGTATTGTCATACTGTGAGGGAGGACTGCCCCAGTCCCTGATAGATTACTTGAATAAAAAGAAGTAAAATAAATATTCTTTTGACACTGGATGGTAGAGAGGGAATAAAAAAAATTAAAAATCTACGTGACTTCCGGTGTAGTAACTGTGCTGTTTCCGGGGGGATCGAAAAACCCGCTGCACCGTTTTCGCACGGAGAAACGATACACTTCCGTGTTGTGGTTGTTAAGGGCACGTTGATTGGCTGTTGCGTTGTGATGGGCGTAGGCAGTGACCGAATTGAGTATTCTGATTGGTCGGTTTGTTCCGGACGTTGTCTTCTGATTGGTGGAGTGGGGATGGATGTTGTTTAGCTAAGTGGAGGATTTGGGAATCTGGATGAAAGCGAAACGTTGTCTCTCAGTGAGCCGCTGGTCCGAGTCTCGGGTGGAAACCCCACTCAGGATGTGATTCCCTGTATCAGTGACGGGTTCTGGGGGGAAGGTGACTCCTATGTGAGCTTGGGGAGGGGGACAGGTGCCATAAAATGTCGGCTCATGGTGTGAAGTGCAATGTCAGCCTTGTCCTGCAGTGTGAGTGGGGCTCCTGTACCTATGTGTCCTCCAAGATGGAAGACTTCTGCTCCCATGTGTCTGGCCATCTCAGGGTGAACGTTGTGCTCAAAGAGGAGGAAGATATGGCCTGTGAAGGTGAGTCTGTCATTCTCTAAGCCGAGGTCATTCCAGATGTGCACTACATTTCCCATAGTGCTCTTACATCTATAATGCTGGCAAAGCATCGTGGGAGGTGTAGTCCATATATCTGGAGTGCCTGTAGGTGACTATCCTTGCTACAAGCCAATGGTAGGCAACCTTTGTCATTCAAGATGTGGACTACTTCTCTTATAGTGCTCTTACAGCTATAGTGCCAGCAAAGCATCATGGGAGGTGTAGTCCAAAATATCTGGAATGTGGAAGGTTACCTATCCCTGGTCTAAGCCAAGCCTTCAGCTCTACAAATGCTGTCAAAGCACCAGGGAAGATGTAATCCACAACATCTGGAGTGCTGAAGGTTGCCTACCCCTGCGTAAGCATTCAATGGCACCAAAAGGTTAAAGTGTAGCTCATAATAAAATATACAGGTAGTCCTCATATTGATATCCATGTTACGTGCTAGGGCATTAAAGCACCACTATAGTGCCAGGAAAACATACTTGTTTTCCTGGCACTATAGTGCCCTGAGGGTGCCCCCACCCTTAGGGACCCCTCCCGCCCGGCTCTGGAAGGGGGAAAGGGGTAAAAACTTACCTTTTTCCAGCGCTGGGCGGGGAGCTCTCCTCCTCCTCTCTGCCTCCGATCCGCCCCGTCGGCTGAATGCGCGGCAAGAGCTGCGCGTGCATTCAGCCGATCACATAGGAAAGCATTATCAATGCTTTCCTATGGACGCTGGCGTGCTTTCACTGTGAAAATCACAGTGAGAAGCACGCACGCGCCTCTAGCGGCTGTCAATGAGACAGCCGCTAGAGGCTTTGGGGGAAGGCTTAACCCATTGATAAACATAGCAGTTTCTCTGAAACTGCTATGTTTATAAAACAATGGGTTAACCCTAGCTGGACCTGGCACCCAGACCACTTCATTAAGCTGAAGTGGTCTGGGTGCCTAGAGTGGTCCTTTAAGCTTAGATGATTAATTAGATGATTTGTATCTAATGATTAGAAACATAGTTTATTCGGTTTTTACAAAATTTTTAAATAAGGTCCACAACTTTAGAATAACGTAATTATAGCACAGTGGGAAGTAATAAGAGGAATGACAATAGTTAGCAACATGGGGGAAAAAATTGTGAAAGTGCCTTTGGAGACAAAACAAGAGTTAACATTTTACATTTTTATCCCAAGGGCACATTTTCATATTCAGAGTGAGACTATTATAGTGATGTATGGAATGATAGAAGGAAATTAATGATAATGGGTAAAAAACAACAACTTCTAAAGCATGTCAAATGAAAATAAACACAAAATATTTGTGCAGAATCTTTTAAGAGAGAAAAGTTTGAACTATAATGCATACATCTTTAGTGCAAGTTCTCCCAACATACGGTCATAGATTCTTAGAGTGAGATTCATTGCGAATAGAACAGAGCAATGATGTCATTTTATCACTGAATCTGCCACTGTACTTGGGGAATTTCTATTGAGGCCTTTATTTTATGTCACTTTTAATTTTTCGGCTCATAAAAGTTCATAGGCAATACTCACTTTTCATTTGTGTGTGTGTTTTCTTCCCTTCAGGACAGGAGGCATTCCATACATCTAGGAAACGTTCATAATTTGAGTACAGCTCTTAACCCCTTCTTAAAATGGTATTAAGCCCACAGCTCCCTTTACTTCCCCTGTATCTGCCTCCCCATCCATGTTATTTCCCCAGTATGCTAAAGGAGTTATATTGACCCGATGAGCACCAAAAACATTGACTTCACCCAAGCAAAGGGGCTCTACATATTACTAGAGAGATCTAGTACTCTTTAAAGACGCTTCTTTTGTGAGGAAAGTGCTCAATGTCATTAAATCAGGAACAATTGCCCTTCTTTTAATTGGCTTGTTAATTCCACCACCCCTATGCCTCTATTCTTTAGGGGGAAAAAACAAAATCTTACTTTCTGATTTTTTTTATTTTTTTTTCATGGGATTAGTGCTAATACTGCTTTTCTTTCCCTTGTTTATGTAAGGTGCATTTTTGCAAAGCTTGTTGCTGGTAAAGTGCAGGCAATTTATGTTTCCTGGGTAAAAATTAAGTGTAGATTTTAAAAGTAAATTTTTTTTCTTAGGTCCACGGAATGCTGCTTACACCAGCAACAGTATGAAGGCAACAACTTAATAGTGATTACTTCCACTAATTGTAAACGTAATTTTTTTCTGTCTTCTCATTGGTTTCTTTCTTTCTCCCAGATGAGTTTTGCTGCCTGTGGCAGGCCTGTGGCTTCTTCTCTCCAGACAAGCCTGTAGATCTCACTCGCCATGTATATTTCCACTGTTACCATACTAAGTTGAAACAGTTGGGTCATCAGGCTCTGCAGAACCAGCCGGGCCTCACCCCCTGCCAGTTGGATACTCAGAGCAGGAACTTGATTCCCGAAGTACATGACAGCTTCATTTGCATGTGGGACCAATGTGAGGTACAGACTTCAAAACACAAAGAACACCTTATTTAAAAAAATCTAGTTACAATATCTGGGTCAAATGTAAATCCCTCGCTTAACAACTCAATGACTGACATGTAAAAGAAATAACATGTATATGCTTCACATGTGTTTGTCATGTTCTTTTCCTTCAGTTAGTTCAAGAGTTTTCTTCAGTTTTCTACTTGTTCTCAGTGTAGGAAATGACCAGTGCCCAGCAGATCCCAGATAAGTTGTCAAACCATTTGCAAACGGTTTGACTATGGGGGAGAGATGCCCGGACACTCCTGGCACTATAACAACTGCAGTGTGCTGTAGTAAGGTTGTTGGCTTTCTTTAAAAGCAGAAGTGATAAATAGTCAAGTTTGCTCAGTATTTTTATTTTGCTCTGTTTGGCTGTCCACTCACTGTTAACTGAAATATATCTATATTTCACTTATATGAAGTGACATTTAAATTATATTCTAAGTATGTATTATGAAAGAACTAGAAAAAGTGCAGAGGTGGGCTATAACATTTATGAAAGGAATGGAGCATTTTAGTTATAAAGAAAGGATAACAAATTGAAATCTCTTTAGTTTAGAAAAACTGCGCCTCTGAGGGGATATGATAGCATTACACAAATATATTCGGGCCCAGTTTCGTCTAGAAATCTATTCATAAACCTGACTATTTACAGGACACAAGGTCACACATTTAAACTGGAATAAAGGAGATTTAGTCTAAAGGAAAGGTTTTGATTTTTTACAGTAAAATTAATAAGTATGTGGAATTCTTTGTCTGAAGAGGTGGTCTTGCAATTTATACAAATGTTTTAACAGCAATTGGATAAGTACTTGCAAAAACATAATGTTCAGGGATATAATTTTTAATTAGTAGGGTAATATCTTTTTGATCCAAGGAGAGATGTGACTGCCATTCTGGGGTCAAGAAGGAACTTTTTCCTAGTTTGCTGCAAAATTGCAAGTGCTTCAGACTGGATTTTTTTGCATTCTTTTGGATCAGCAGCAAAAGCAAATATGAGAAGGCTGAACTTGTCTCTTTTCAGCAGCGTTAAAGGAGCACTATAGGGCCAGGAACACAAACATGTATTCCTGACCCTATATGGTTAAAACCACCATCTAGCCAACCTGAGCCCCTCATGCCTCCCTAAATATAGAAATATTGCTGTATTCAAGTCTGGAGCTGCTGGCTCTGTTCCTGTTTCCTTTAGACCTGCCCACCACTGCCTGATCCAATCACAGTGCTTCCCCATAGGATTGGCTGAGACTGACAAAGAGGCAGATCAGGGGCAGAGCCAGCATGATTCAAACACAGCCCTGGCCAATCAGCATCTCCTTATTAATTGAATCAATGAATCTCTATGAGGAAAGTTCAGTGACTGCATGCAGAGGGAGGAGATACTGAATGTTTGGAT